CGGCTTCGGCAGAGGTGTCCAGTCCTGCAATCGCGTCCTAGCTTCCTACATTTTGGGGCTCAGGCGCACCCCCATAAAAATAGAGACCTGCTCGAAAAGCTTCGCTGCCCACCAGTCCCCTCTGGTTGTTGAACTGGATGTCCCGCTGTCATTCCTTTTCATCAAAAAAGCAGGGGCCTGTAGCGCACAACCGGTGGAATCGATGACGGGTTCATCCCGACGATTTGACCCCACACCCAGGGCTGGATCGATTGTGCTGGTTGAACTAAGATCGAGCAACGGCAACCGGTGGAAGATATTCTGTAAGGGGGACGCACGCTGCAGTATCGTCAACACCGAAAAGGCAGAGCCTTGAGTACAGAAACAGTCACACGTCGGCCTGAACTGCACGGAGAGCCAGTGTAGCGTACCGAGGACGGGGGTTAACCTGCTTCTGCGTAGTGGACAAGTGGACAAGTTGAAGCCTATTGAGGGGAGCATTTCAAGCTTCGTGGTTGCCCGGGGAAAAATTTGTTTTACAGCACAGTCCGACGGGACAGTGCGACAAAGTCGGACATGATCGGCAGAGGACGGGAGAGTTTCCGGAACCGAGAGCGTGATATATACGTTCTTCGAGCGTGTCAGTTTTAGACCTGGGGTGCGGTCTGGGTGGAGTTTGCATGTTCTCGACGCATCCTCACGGGTTTCCTCTGGGCGCTTCTGTTACCTCCCAGATATCAAACACGTACGCATAGGTTAACTGGCTTCTGGGAAAACCGATACTGGTGTAAGTGTGTGTGCCCGCCCTGTGATGGACTGGCGTCCCTTTCCAGGGCGTACCCTGCCTTGCGTCTGCTGCTTGCTGGGATAGACTCCAGCTCCCCCACAGCCCTGAATGAGAAGACGGCGGGATAGTAAGATTGGTTTCCATTTTCGAGGTCGTCGGTCAGCATCAAACGTTTGAAAAGTGAGAGAGAGAGAACTGGGACGCTTCAGAATCGAGCAGATCCAGTCGGCCCTTCTGGTCTGGTTTGTAGTTAAGAGTTAGTTGATGCCAAGACTTCACCCAGCTGTTTCTTGAAAGAGACCAGGGGTGTGACTTCAGCCATAAAATACTTAAATTATTTCTCCC